AGCGAAGCATAAACACATTTACCCAACGATATTTTTACATAGATCGAAAGAACTCTTCCTTGACATTTTATCCTGCAAAGAGCATTTGATTTGATCATATCGGTCTTTGTCAAATCGACGGCTATTTTGATAGTAGTTTTAACGATCAAAAACACGTGTCATTTATAAAAATTCGCCAGAAATTTTAGATATAAGCCACAAGTCTAAAACTCGCCCAAATGAAAGAAAATGGGTGATATTTTTATCTTATAAATGTTTTAAGCATGAAACATTGATGCATTAACCAAACGAGGCCATCAGTTTATCGCCATTTCATAGCTCGAAAATTAGCATATTTACATCGTTCCACGAAAATTCAATTTACTCATAAATAAAACGTTATTTTCAAAAACCAAATACATGGTTGTTTATCTTATATAATWGGGTACCTAAGTTAAGAGTATGAGCGAAATCAATTTTTCAAGAGTTGGCACGATTTTTTGAAAATGTTTGATTCTTACCGGCATCCACTCTTAAACATTTACAAGCCAAGTATTGTCTTGATGTTTTGCAACGGAAAGGAGCTGTGATTTTTTCAATTTCAACTTTTTTCCATACATTCTTTGCAATTTCGTACACGTGTTTCTTAACTCCTCACGGTTCACTCTAATCGAAAAACATCTCCCCATCAATCTTGTAGCTCATTCAAAGTTACATATAGAGTGCYGCTTGTTAGCCGAAAAAAGGCCAATTTCATACACTTTTATCCCCTTTCAGATCCTAGAATTGCACTTCGAAATTCTGCGATAGGCCAAATTTTTAAATTACTTCGATTTCTCTCAAAATCTGTCACAGTCTTTGCTTTACGGTCAGACGACTGTATTCTAAATATTCTCTGCATAGCACTTAACCCCACAGTGATATCATTTTTTGAAATCGTGCATTTCTCCATACATTCTTTGCAATTTCTACGCCTATTTCTTAACTCCTCAGGGTTGACTCTAATCGTAAAACATCTCCCCATCAATCTTGTAGCTCCTTGAAAGTTACATATAGAATTGCGCCTATCAGCCGGAAAATGGCCAATTTCATACACTTTTATCCGTTTTCAGATCCTACAATTGCACTTGGAAATTGTGCTATAAGCCAAATTTTCAAATTACTTGGATTCCTCTGAAAATCTGTCACAGTCTTCGCTTTGCGGTCGGACGACTGTATTCTAAATATTTTCTGCACAGCACTTAACGCCACGGTGATATCATTTTTTGAAATCGTGCATTTCTCCATACATTCTTTGCAATTTCTACGCCTATTTCATAATTCCTCAGGGTTGACTCTCATCGAAAAAAGTCTCCCCATCAATGTTGTAGCTCGTTCAAAGTTGCATATGGAGTGCCGCCTGTTAGCCCAAAAAAGGCCAATTTCATACACTTTTATAGCGGAGCTCCCGCGCGGGCCGAAGGCYYGCGCGCAGCGGAGCACCATAACTAAGGAAAAATGGTAAACCCATGGGGATGAGTTTTGATCAACCGACACAGGAAGCCCAGTTGTCCTTCCGTACGTACGGCGTACGTCCGTACGTCCGTCCGTGTACATCGCGATTCTGATTGCCTACTTTTGAGAAGGCGGGAAAAGGAAGCGCGCTCGCGTCAGTTTTTGAAAACAACTTTTTCACCAAAAAAAGATTTTTTTCTTTGAATGATCACTTTAACTTCTATTACTTCTGTGGGCAAAAATGTCTCAAAATCAACGGGTACGCCCTTTATCTGAAGAAGAAAAGACAAGACGAAGAGAAAGAGAGAGAGAGCGACGAAGAAATCTTAGTGAAGAACAACGAAGGCTTGAAAGAGAGAGAAAACGCGAGTGTAGACG